TTTTTTTTTTTGATTGACTTTTTTCATTTTAATTTCCCCGATGTCTAGATTAAACATGGAATGTACAGTCACTCTGCCGGAAGTCGAACATGCCGCAATCGACTGAGTCAGACGGCTGTCTGCACGGTTACTAAAAGAGTGACCGGTGCTAACGAATTAGTCTATTCAAGAGATTGTAGTATACAGTACCGTAATCTGCAAATACATACAAATCTATTTGTAGATATTATTTATTGTGTAGTATGTTATACAGTGTGAAATTTCGTTTGTGTACAAGTTTGTCTGCGTGTACAAATCCGAAAGTGCCTTAGAATCGCAACAAAGTTGCAATCGAGTGTCGTGCATCTCATTAGCATATCATTATCCCTTCTGGCCTTTGTTTTCTGAAAAAAATTCCAACTGTTACCGAAGTGAATGCTCTAATTAAAGCCGCACCAAGACTTCACGCATCTGAATTCGTCCATTGAAAAAATGAATTTTAATTAAAGCCGCGGCCTCAAAAAGAAATTTTACGGTATTAAATGTGTGGGCTGGTTCAAACTATGCATATTGTACATTATTTCTATGGTATACTACAGTATACATGTATTAGTAGCATCTATCAGTATACATGTAAATGTATGTTTTCTTACATTTCCCTTTCTTCTTCTCCTCCTCGTAATGAATTCTTCTTTCATGTTTTTTCTCATCTCTGGCTTTCCTATCTCGTACTTTCTTTCTTCTCTGAAACTCTCCTTTGAAGAACAAAACAATTACAAAACAAAATATCAGAACAAAAACTTACTGAAACTAGAAGTTGTACGAGAACCATGTACACATGTGTAATTAATGAATTCAAGTGAAGTGAGTGAGTTGATTGATGTCTGTTTTGTGGAAAATGTGCCAAGCGTTGAGACAAACTGTTATCAATAAAACTTCAGGCATGCTGTAATAGCACATGGACAATACCGGTAGGGCCTTACAATGGACAAAACATGTATATCTATAATAAATATCAGTGCCGATGACTGAATCCCCTATCTTTGAACAAACTGCTCACTTCATGTAATGTGAGGATGCATATTATTATGATAGTACTTACCTAGAAATTCATCCAAAGTTTTTCTGGAAACAATTGGAGGTTTCAGTGCTAATTCACATACAGTGAACTCGCAAGTCAATGGCAAGTGACATATGTATCGGAATCTTTTCCTATAATCCTAAAAATCATAAATTGTTACTATTATAAATATGTTATTTTACAAGGTATATGGTTGCAGCATGTAGGAATTTTTTGTGGGTGGTATTTGGCAGCTTACAAGGAAATGTGAATGCCAACTAAAACAATTGCACGTTAACTGTAATGAAGTGCAAGATTTCAAAATAAAGTTTATAGCGATAATTTTCAACAAGCAGTTCGATTGTCAGGTAATGTGATAATGTTATCTGAAAATTTACATCTATCAAGTTCTGGTAATGATTTGAACAAGTTAAATCATACTTTCAAACAGAGCAAAACCAATGATACTTGTTCGAGTTTCCCACATAAAACAATGATATTTAATTTCAATTTGACCATATCAACTGAAACTTAAATTGCATGGTGAAAAAACAAATCTCTGTGACATGTTGATATATTTTTTGCAAATGAAAAGTTAATGCATAGAGTATTGAGTATAGCGAGTTACCTCTGTCATAGAATATCCTGTTGTTTCCAAGATAGTAGCACTGATTGTATCAGGACAATTTGCTAGACTTCCATATTCTCTCATCAAACATCTTACATTAACGGGATGTAGATACAAATGCTGACCATCTTCAGCTAATTAATGAAAGTTAACACAAATATTTATGAGAAATATAAAGACATTAAATATTACAAATGTTTGTCTTAAAAACTAAGTACCGGTATTGTTAATCTGCAGTTCTTAGGCAAGTGTCAAAAATGACAGAAACCACAGTGTTCTCTCCTTAGTAGTTGATGATTAGCATATAAATATATGCTGTAATTCTCATTACAATGAACATAATTAGCATGTAAAAAAAGTGAAACAAAGTCATTAAACAGGTCTTGTCATCCATAAAATACTAATTGTGGTCAATGAAAAAAACTAATCGTACTGTTAATTAATTCAACAGTTTCAGGGGACAGGTAGGAAGAACCCAAAGTTCTGTTAGCTGTTTGATTCAAACTGACTATTAGTCAACACATGTATACACAAGTATCCAAGTTTGAAAAGATTGAGATATGAAGATGACGTATCACACTTTGGTAGGGAAATCATGAAAATCATAGCAAATCGTGACTAAGTATGCATAAACCAGGTTAAACAAATGCCTCAATGCTTTACTCGTGCTAATATGCAAACAAGAATGTAATAGTACCTTGATAGAAATAATATACATGTCCAGTGTCAGCAGATGCACATGATTTAACCTGCACACTTTCATCCACACATTTGTCATCTCTACCAATAGAATTATCATTTAACTGTGGTACGTCATGTGACACGGGTGGCATGTCATGTGACACGGGTGGCTCGTCATGTGACACAGGTGGTTCGTCATGCGACACAGGTGGTTTAGGTGGCTGCATTGCAGTTTCATCAACAACTTCATCAAACGCTGAAACATACACTATAGCATCCTACAACACAGGTGTAAATAGAAACATAATTTTAGCTGCAAAATTAATTTTAGCAGTAGCAAGAGCCTCATATATCCCTGTAAGATCAAATACACTAAAAAGAAAGTGACAATAATTCCCCATTGACAGTAATTCATAGACTAAGCATGCGAGACATGTACTTCTTTAGAAAGAGTTATATTTTGTATTAAGCAAAGAAAAATCTAGCAAAATATCGATAAACAAACTTTAAAATATGCATTCCCACAGCACTTGTAATGGTTTCCCAACATTACAAACTGACTAAGTTGTCTTGGATATCTACTGAATTTGCTTTTGAAAACTAAGAAATTCACTAAATTAGGAATGTTATCCTTTGCAGTTTCTAATTTGAAAAAAATGCAATACCATACTTCAGATCCTGTGTGTGTGTGTGTGTGTGTGCATGTGGCATTTCTGACTAACATTACCTACCTGATTTTTAGTCCAATGCTTCATGATAATTTCATCATCAACAGGTTCTTCAGCATTATCACACAACTTTATACCTATTGAAGAATATGAATAATGACTTCAATATGTCATGTTTGCTCTATTAGAAACGTATTACCAATAGAAGAATACATTAGCCAAAAATTGCATTTATCTTATGTTGGATTAATAAATTACGCAATCGTTGAAACCAAGCCATAGGTGTGTTTTAATGTTGATAATTTCTATATATATTCCATTCTATATTTCTATCTATTTCTATATGTGATTTGTTCCAATTTAATGAGTAATTCCGAGTTATGTGTTTATAGATGTAATACATAATTATAACGTTCCAGTTTGTATAGAAATCAATCAAAAACATTTTTCTTTTCTGACTGATATTCCATTATTAATTTAGTATGCAGTCACTGATTGGTTGACCTCCTTATGCGTGGAAAACGCTGTAATGGTCCATTCCATTTTTAAAAGTAAAAACTGTAATTCTGTTCTAGTTTTTAGTTCGTGCTCAACTGTGGGTCAGTTAGTTCATCTGTTTACTATGTTTCTGTAATTACCAAAAGTTTATACTTTCATTTGAAGTGTTTCGATCACCAATAAATGCAGTTTATGAGTAGGTTTGCAAGTTCAAGTTGTTCCGCTGAACTCCTAACTCAAGTTGGAATGTGGCTGACCAAACCCATCCACATACGCATTATTTTGATCATAGACACACCTCTGTGCAAGAGTAAGCACTACTATTAGAGCAAATACGGTATCATATACCATCCCCTTTTGGGACTTGATTAATTCATAATTTTGATTATCAACTTATTTCTAGAGATGGTCGATAATTGTCGCATCTATATCAACCAGCTCTATGAATAGATTATGTATGGTAATAACGTTTTCATCTTGTGATGTCAAAAAGAAATGTACTCCAGATGAATGAGTCAGTTCCAAATAGATGCCAGAATTTGGTTTTATCCTTGTACTATTTGAATACACATACTGATTATGTTTATCGTGCATATCACCACAATCAACGTGAAATATCAGTTAATGACATACACCATGAACATGTGATAACATCGGGGTATAAATCATCACTTCTTTAATATTTACCTGCAACATTGACAATATTCTGATCACCAATTAACATCTTTTCTCTTTCCTGTGGAGATAAAGTGAAACAAACATTAGTTTCAAAATCACAGACATAACTGAGACTAGATGTACATAGCAGTTATGCTGAATAACAGCCTGAGAATTCACTGGATCTTTGTTTTGTCAACAATTTTATAATGAATATATCATAAAATAGATCTATAAAAATTAAACTTCACTTGCATTTATAGAGGGAATATCACAAATTCAATGTACAAGACATGCAAAGAGAAAACAAAGTATTTGTTTTTTTGTGGCTACAGTCACATTATTGACAGAGACATACAGACATTAGCCATACCTGCAAGAGTGATAATGCTGATTCAATAAAACACTGTTCAGATTCCTGAAAAAAAAAAATTATTGTCATTTGAGTATAATTAAACAGACAAAAATAGACCTCTGTTTAGGTAATTCCCAGTAATTTACTGTTTTTGAACCAAGTGAGTGGTTGAAATAGCTCTGCTGTGATGCACCACTTACATCAGGGGTGAGCAAATCAACACAGTGGTGGTACATGTATATAGCAATACTACTACATAGGGTATTAAATTAATATTATTAATAGAGATAATATAGAGATAGCTCCGCTGTTAGCAATGCACATTTCAATTAAAGAAGTGAAGACATCATTAGAAAATGAACAATATGAATAGTATCAAAGCAATCGGACTTACAGTTTTTAGCAAGAAGTCGAAAATATCACTTTTTACCAAAAATTACAAAAATATTCACCAAAATAAATTAATTAGAGAATTGAAGATATCATCACAAAACGAACAAATCTGAGAGAGGTCCACATGTAGTACCTATATATGTAATATCAAAGCAATCGAACTTGCGGTTTTTAACAAGAAGTCAAAAATATCACTTTTTACCAAAAATGACAAAAATATTCACCAAAATTAGAGAATTGAAGATATCATCACGAAATGAACAAATCTGAGAGAGGTCCACATGTAGTACCTATATATGTAGTATCAAAGCAATTGGACTTGCGGTTTTTAACAAGAAGTCGAAAATATCAGTTTTTACCAAAAATGACAAAAATATTCACCAAAATTAGAGAATTAAAGATATCATTACAAAATTAACAAATCTGAGAGAGGTCCACATGTAGTACCTATAGATGTAATATCAAAGCAATTGCACCTGCGGTTTTTAACAAGAACTCGAAAATATAGTTTTTACCAAAAATGACAAAAATATTCACCAAAATTAGAGAATTAAAGATATCAACATGAAATGAACAAATCTAAGAGAGGTCTACCCAAGGTACATATACACCAAGTATCAAAGCATTTAGGCTTGTAGTTTTCAAGAAGAAGTCGAAAAAGTAAAACATTGACACGGACGACGACGACGGACAATCACTCATATGATAAGCTCCGCTCGACAAAGTCGACAGCGGAGCTAATAAAAGATTATACCAGTATTCATGCACCTCTTGCTTGCCACTAATCTAGTTTTTCAAATTTAATCAATTTTCTTGTACCTTATATATTATATTTACCTTTTTATTCAGAATATGAAGTTCATAAAATCAAACTAATGAAAATCTGTACAGGTATTATTTCAACAAGAAAAAGAAACTTTCAGGGCCATAAATCATTGTCGGACATACCCATGATTTCAAACTTGGCCGAGATTTTAAGGTCACTAACAATAGACACCCAAGCTATAGTAAGTTTGCGACAGAGTGGTCTGACAGTTCAATCGGACCACAATGCATATGGATAATGGTAGAATTACATACTAAGTCTTACCTCATCTTTGTCTGCTAATTTACATTCTAAAGCAGTCTTCTCAAAAACAATTATCTGAAAATACAAACCAGGTTGTTATATTTTACCCAGGGGCATTATCAATTTCACTCATTCAAAAAGTATATTTTGATCAAGAAGAGGCCTCCAAAACAATATTTTCTTTCCACACAAAATAATTAACTAATGGGAAGCATCTTAACACCCATCTTAACGTCTAATCTTAATGCACATTGGAGGACAATTTTTTTTTATATTCTCTCTAATCAAGTTTGTTTTCAGGTTCAATTAATATGAATGTCATATCTTTCAGCTTTAATCAGCATTGTTCATTGGAATGACATTTCAAAATAGAAGCAACAACAGACATGTAATCCCTCCTTTGTCCCTCCTAGTATATATCACAAAATGAAAACAATACAATGAATAAATGTGATGCTCACCTGTTCCTGTACTTGTTTTGGATCTGCCACTAATAATTTGACAAAACCATCATTTACAATTGTTTGACCCAGACTGAATGGCTGAGCCTCTGCTTCTATCCACTCATTCTTAGGGAGAGCAATGATGGAACCTTTCTCTCGCTTCATCAATTTCATCGTTATCTCTTCACCGACAGCATACTGATGAGTTGCCATAGCAACAACACTGAAAACCAAATGACACTAGTTTGAGAACATTTTTGTATTTTTCAATCAAATGGACTGTAATATTGGTTGTCAGTCAGGTCACATCACCAAAAAAACTGACATGCAAGTGAAAAACAAACATACAATCTACTGGATTCTGCTGTAAATTCGCCCTGGGCTGTTAAACAACAGTTTGTTTGTTTTTTTAAAAAAATTAACAATTTGCTTACACTACTAATGGGTGACATTGTCATGAAATTTTAGGCGATCTTCCTTTTAATTCAGCAAGAATACTTGAAAATGTATCAAATTTTAGATTAGCTTCTGCAATAGTTACTTTCGTCTTGGGTGGTCCAACTGCTGGTGTTGAAAGTCAGGGTGGGTGGATTTTTCAATTAAAATAAAGTCCCAAAAAAATATTATTTGATTATTTTTTGAAATTTTGAACCCCAAATAATAGCCCCACTTGCCGCGATTTTTTTGATGGGCCAATTAATGACAGAATCCAGTAGTATCGATATTGAACAGATGAGAAAAATTACTAATTCTTTAACGTCTAAATACTACAACATGTTACAATTTATACTATACGATGATAGAAGGACCAAACACCAACTTACCTTTTCAAATCATTTTGATGAACAGCTTCATAACATATTGGACATTTCTTCCATGTTTTGTCAGACAATGACAAATAATGCAGAATACATGGCCAGCAATAGATGTGACCACATCGGGTAATTTTTGCTGCAGTGGGTGGATACAGGCAAATTGGACAAGAGGGTACCATGTGACTGAAAATTCGCTGTTACAAGAAAAAAAAATGTCATCACTATTACTTATTAAAGACAGTTAGAGACTACTTTATTGTTTGTGTCAAAATACATACTTTTGTAATGGTGTTGTATGTGGTCACTCAAGTGTATTGATATGTGAAAAGTAGTGCTGTTGGCATAACTGAAAACGACTGAATAAACACGAAGTCAACACATTACATGAACAAACAATATTCTGATTTGGTACTTATTTAAGAATGGTTCAAAGAAATTGTGGAAATAGCCTCTTAAAAAAACAACCCAAAAATCGTGAACTCTAACACACCATTCTCCAAATGTATGCCCTCCAGATAATTATATGCATTCTGAAGAAGGGGCATACACAATTACAATGGAGAAGGGGGCACTGGAGGGGCAAGAATTGGAATAGAGTTGGTTTAGGGTTTGGTCACCAATAAAACAGAAAGAAACGTGCATTATTATTATTATTCATGTGCCAGTGTTTCCGTTAATGCATAATCTTGCATATTTTACACATTTTTAATCTTGATTACGCAAAATATTTTACAGCTGCGTCTGTCCATACGCGTTAGTTTCAGCTGTGTTGTATTAAAAACAGCTGGGCAAAATCACGACGTCACACATCCAGGCTAGTTCCTTGCAACAATGTATAATGTTTATTTCAAGCAAGTCAGTTGCAACAAATATTGTTTTGCAACATTGTTTTGGTTCCTTGTCAATCAAATTGCTTGGCGCGAACTGCTGTCATACGTATCAGTGTACAACGTTGTTCAATTATGATTGAATAGCGACTAATTGCTTATTTCTAGAAATTTAACAATTAAAAATATAATTATTTGTTTTGTATCATTTCATTACTGACGTGGTGTAAACCGTTATTCCGTTACTTATTCAAATATTTCATTCATGACCCTTTCGAGTCCGGCAATACCTAACTCTATATTATGTCTAAACGGCAAAATATTGCGAGTTATTTTACTCAATCACCATCGCCAGCAAGGAAAAGAGGAACTCCGATGCTAAATCTACCGGAAAACTCAGTGCAACCAAATGCCGAGACGGCAGGTGTTTCTGACGTGCATGTGAAAAAGCATCACAAATTTCGCCAAGAATGGATGCGCGAGTTCAATTGGTTACCGGTATATCACAAACCCGAAGTTACAGCTCCAGAAGTGAACGTCAAAATGTTTTGTTGTACCTGTCAAAGTGCTGGCAAGTCAAATTCATTCACTAATGGTTGCAGCGACTTGCAACGTTCGGCATTAGTTCGCCACTTGGCCACCAGCGACCATAGGGAGTCTTGCAAGTGTACGGGTTTTCGCAAAGCGATGAGCAAGTCCATGGAAAACAAGATGTCATCAGACACCGATGGGCAAATATCCGTGATGCGTACAGTCTATTTCATGGCAAAAGAAGACATCGCCGACACCAAGCTGGGCAGTTTGTTAGAACTGCAGAAACTGAATGGCAGTGATCCATTGAAAAAATGTTATCCTTATGTTACTTCAGTTTCGATCCACGAAATGCAAAAAGCGTTGTCAGATACGATACGCGGGAAGATCAAAGAAGAAATCAGGCAAAGCCCTTACATCGGCCTTCTTACAGATGAAACCGTAAATATCACTATTGATAAGAAACTGATAGTTTATTTGCGCATCATGACGAGCGATGGCCCAAAGTCAATTTTTCATAGCAATGTCACTATTCACAGCGGGAATGCCGAAACAGTGATAAATGCATTGATTGACACACTCGTTGCAAGTGATATTGAAATTGATAAAGTCATGGGCTTTGGATCTGACTGCGCCAGTGTTATGACTGGGTGTTTAAATGGTGTCGCAGCCCGATTAAAACGTCTCAACCCTTTTCTGACATCGGTTCACTGCGTTGCTCACAGAGTTGCTCTAGCGGCCAGCGATGCAACAAAGCGAGATTAAGGTGTTGTCAACATCAGTGAATATCGTAAAGATGAAAACACAATCTACAACTTTTACCACTTCTCTGCTGCCCGTATGAATAGTTTGCGAGAATTGAATGAAGCACTGGATAACAACGATTTCCGGTCACTCAAAGAGCCGTGTTCAGCGAGATGGCTATCGTTATCCCGAGCAGTGACAGCGATCAACAATAGTTGGACTGTTCTTGCAGTTGAGTTGGAGGAGGAATCAAGGCCTGAAAAGAATAATGCAGCTGCGAAGGGACTGTTGTTACGCGTGTCGTCCTTTAAATTTGTGGCAACAACAAAACTTCCAAAAGACGCGTTAGCACTGATGGATAGATTAAATCTCTTATTTCAACGTGACACTATCGATTGTCCACAATTGCTCCCATGGTTTCGCCTACCATACAGAGTTTACAGCAGCTATTGGAAACTCTGTATTCCGGTGTACATGAAGCACAGTTCATGGATAAGTTTGACAGGCAAACACACACTTACCACGGAGTTCAACTGAAGCATGCAGCCGAAGTCAACATCGATGCGTTCGTTAACGGCACTCGACAGGAATTCGTGGAGGCACCGATTCACAACTTGCAACGTCGTTTCGAGGGCGATCAGATAACTGTTCTAACTTCATTAGATGTCCTGCTCAATCCCAGGAAATTGGCACAAGACAGGAACGAGCTAGCGAACTTTGGAAAACCGGAAATGGAAGCACTTGGTTATTTTGGGCTTGACATGGGTTTCGATGGTGAAATCCACAGAGCCATAATTAATTTTGAAGAGCTCCATATCGAATACCAGCAATTCAAAATTATGCTATACAGATTAAGACAGCTTCGCTTTATTGATGTGTGTACGTTATTGTACAATGACTACCACGAAATGTTTCCAAATATATCAAAACTAGCAGTTATTGCAGCTGTTATTCCGGTATCGTCAGTTCCTTGTGAGCATGGTTTTAGCAAGCAAAACCACATTAAAACTTCAAGAAGAAGCCGTCTCAACAAAGAAGTTATAAATGATGTAATGATGATCACAATGGAAGGGCCTGCAGTTGGTGGCTTTGATTTTAGAGAAGCCATGTTATCTTTCAGACAGCAGAGTCAGCGTCGAAAATAACAATACACGAAATTAATAATGACGAACATAACTAGTAGAGATCTTACGGAAATACAACAGTAATTATGAGGACACAAAACGTTTAAAATAACAATTACCTTTATTTATGTTACAAATTTAGAAAAGTTATTATTTTGGACACGTGTTCACATTGTTGATTTTACATTTGTTCCCACCTACTTTGATTTTACGCATATTTTGCAACATTGTACGCAAAAAAAAATGGTGAATGTGTATAGAAATATGCAAGAAAAATAAATCTAACTGAAACACTGATGTGCACCCTAGGTTCATAACAACACGATATAATCAGATATGAAATTCATGCTTTCTACTGGCAACAGAAATGCTCATTCTACTCTCAACACAAGAATCAGTGACAAGCAGACTCATGTACTGGAGTATAGCCTAACGTGTCAATCATCTTTTGGTCATATAGCCAGTTTTAATGATCCAGCTGTACATGGAATGCAAAAATATAGAATAATAATGAGTATTTTACTTACAACTTGCTCAATCAGTTCCCAATTGACCAAAATATCCGGATCAGCTGCATGAACAGTGTAATCACCACTAGATTTCACAATAAATTGACAACTGTATAGAGATAAATCAAATGAAATCAATCACTAACACTAGTAGCATAAACAATAATACACTATTAAAGTAAATCACATATGTGCTCCACAATTTACTCTACAGTACTGGTAATGACTATTGTCGTCACCACAAACTCACAGAAGGCAGGTACAAGACAAACATAGTACACACATTCAAGCTCATTCGAATATCAGACATGCATGTCCCGGATTTCAACTCACAAAATATGGCACATTAAATTCGTAAGTTCACAGTTTAGAGCAAACAATTCTTACTTGGCTTGAAGAAATTGTTCTTTATTATATCTCACACGCTTGGTTCCCCATTTATTTCTAACTTTCCATGAACCACTATTGGTAGTGGTTTCTCTTGGAGAGTAGGTAAAATTCAGTAAATGATTCAGATTCATTTTCTTAGGTCCATAAGAAAGAGCCGAGCCAAACTCAGCCCTCTGAGTCTCTGTCACCTGTAAAGAAACAGAAACCATACTGATAATTTGAAGAACACAGCAGAAATCAGACAGACAGAAAAGAAAAATCAATAATTTTGTCGGCAAAGGTATATTTATTGGTTTGAACCAAACTAGAAGCCATATTTAATAAAAATAAAAAAATCATGTTATAGTCACAAACAGAGTAAGAGAGCATTCAACTTGAAAATCCCAGTTTGCAAATTTCAAATATAAGTGCAGAATTCTTGAATACATTTTTTTATTTTACAGCAAGTCTCAGAAGTATTGGGGCAGCCAATTTGCAAACTCGCTAGCAAATTGGCCAACTGCTTTGGTTTTGACTAAACTGTTGGCTTTCGAATATCGTTGGCGCCGTCTGTTGGTCACTTCCACTCTGGCAGAATCTATATAACAGTAGGGGACGATCTTACAGTTGGATAGCGATTTCACATTCAAACTAGGGAAAGTGTTCTATGTTCTTCGTGTAATGAGGTGTTTGGATACAAGGAATTGCCCACACAAAAACGAGGAATGAGGTGGATTTTTTTAGCCGTTGGCTTAGTGTTACCCTGATTTTCTCCCTAATTTGTAGGAAACTGTTTTTCAACTTGTCTCATTATTTAGTTCCAAGCACTGTTCACGATGGTTACCACATATAGTAAATATCGGTAGATTAGTCGTAATCGCATTCATCATATTATCGCTTGTACACCAGCTGAGTGTGGCCATTCTCAGGCTGACCAGGGAAACTACTTTTTACATTATCACTCCTCACATAACAAAGAAAATTATTCAGGGGAATCCAGACTACGTCCCCTAATGCAATATAGACTCGCCCAAAGTGGACGCGATCACAAGACGGCACCAACGAAATTCGAAAGCCAACTGTTTAGTCAAAACCAAAGCAGTTAGCAAATTCGCTAGCGAGTTTGCAAATTGGCAGCCCAAATACTTCTGAGACGTGCTGTAAAATCAGGCACATTTTTAAATAGTGTGAATAGAACTGGTTAGTGCTAATCTGGTTATTTTGGTCTATTGCTTCAAGTACACCAAATTGTGTTTCAGAATCAGGTGATTTGTGAACTTTACTCAGTAAAACACACTAGTTATGGCATGAAAAACACAATTAGATCAATTATAGCCCACAATACCTCTTCACGTCTACCTCCATAAACATTTCTACTCCGTGGTCTTTTATCCAAGGCCTTGGTTTTCTGAGGAGTAGGTCTCCTGGCAGAGCTTGGCTCACTTCGGGGTACTGGTGATTCTTTTCTTCGACTAAACTTAGAGCCACCATTGTTGCCTCTATCTACAGACAGATAGACACCACATGGATTCATTAAGTTAAATGCTAGCATTATGACTGCATTGAATTGCGTAATACATTAGTATATCAGTCAGCTGACATGCAGCCAGGTGCTAAAAACAAAATTGCAATTGAGCCTTCCATGGAACAAAAATTGGCAAAGCTACATCACAGAGCAAACAAGTGATACCGGTAACCCAACCAAGATTTCCTGTATCTGAAAGTTTGACTAAAACTTGTTTTTAATTATAATAACAGCAAGTTTGGTTTGCTTAAAAAAAAACAAAAAACAAAAACATGTTATAATCACGACGGTATCAGCATTATTAACATAAGTAAAAAAAAATAGAAGAAGTACATACAATACTATTAGGTGATGGCCAGCAAGAAATAAAACTGTTATATTTACATTATTTGCGCCACCACTGGCACTGTTCGAGCCTACCTTTATTTTTATTGCTGTCCCCATTTGACCCTTTGTTGGTCGGTGTTGCAGACGCTGAGCGAGGGACGTATTTCTTCTCCATTTCCCCTGTAGCCTCTAACATCCGCTACGAAAATAAAAACCGATGACCAGCTGGCCGCTCCGGACTTGGGAGAGACACAAGATTTCTTCGACTTCATGATAAAAATTCAAAACTCCATGATGACCTCACAAAAAAATATAAAGTGCTTCTGTGCAAATAGAATAATCTTGCACTGAAGAGTGAGTGAAAAATATGCGACACTTGTGCTTTAAAGCACAAGCTGAAACCAAATACAGGCTGTTACTGCCAAAAAGTTGGCCGAAAGTAAATCGGGTTCCTTCCCGGAAACGTTTACGCAACTTTCCACCTACAAAATGGTGGCCGAAGACCTGTTCAATCGATACCCGGATGTCTCGTGCAGTCGACCGCGAGATTTCGAGAGCCATTTGAACTCCTTAGAAAACCATAAAATCCTAATTTAACAAATATAGTTTATTGTATTATTCAGCTAAAATAATGTTAGAGGTTGTAGTGTAGTAGTAGTGTATATTTAAAAAAACAACATACTTCTTTTGTAGTCACGTTAAATGTTGAACTCAAAGAACAATTATGTACCCTAATACCACTTTGCTAAAAATGAACGCGATAAGTGGCCTACGCGCTTCAGTTCAAAACCTGTTTTTGTGTTTTGCGTTGTAAATTGATTGCTTACGCGTTGGATGTAGTTATAGGTTTGTATTATTTTTATCTTTATATCTGTTTTTATCCTCCTAAATGTAATTAATGATGTAAATGGAAATTACATTGAGCTTTCAAAGAGTTATCAATTTGCAGCACTTCCGGTAGTTATCACCTTGATGGAGGTAAATTTAATTTCAAGTTCATGATGTCCCAAACATTACAAGCATTCATATTAAGGCAGAAGCTAGCCTACTCATGAGATCAAATACCCAGAATTTATCCATTTTTTAATAAATTGTACTTCTGGGCAATATAGATTAGAATAGAATAGAATATTGCTTTATTACAATGTTAAAGAAAATTTGACAATTCTTTTTTGGTTTCTACACATGTAAGATAATAGACTTTAAAAAAGTTTGGGTCAACAGATTGATTTTCGAGAAAATGATAGTTGTATTTTAGTGGATATTGGCCATTTTTGCAGTATTATAGTGCTTTTACCATAGGTTTCTATTGCAGAGATATTATGCCATATCTCAAATTGTAGGCTGGTGACATAGGCTTAAAATATAATATATTGTTAATGATAGGGTGCTTTTTGTTTTCAAGAATTATTTAAAAAATCTGGGTGTTGAAAAATGCAATTTTTTTAATATTATGCTTTATGGAATTGTTCTGAAAACAGATTTTTGAAAAATATTAGGACAAGTTTCCCAAAAAAATTCAATGTAACACACAAAAGAATGTTATATCATGGTGCCATGAGACAATAGCTTCACGATTTTACACAATAAACCAATGAACATTGTCATGTGATTTATGTAACTCTCAAAAATTATGAGTCTGCTTCTACCTTGAAGGCATATCACGGCACCTAAACAATTCTCAGTACCTCAAATACAGCACAGCCTGTTCAATTTGACACTAATCATGTGACTTGCGTAGTCAACACGTTTTGCTTTCTACAGCATGTAGTGGATAATATTTTGCACAGAATGGCAAAAGAAAATGCAATGAATCATCAGTTCAGCCATCGTAGACAGTCATATCTGCCATTCATTGTGTTGTGTATTTTCATTGAATAAAATTATGTAATTGCAATTTTCGATGTATTTTTGGTGTTCAATCACATCAATCCATCCAACATCTAACAAAGGCATATTTTATGATCCAGCATAGACCTCTATTTGGGCTGCATCAGGTGTACAAATGATAATACAATAAACGTGATTAATTTATCAATGTTCAATATTGTGATTTTTACAAAACAGCAACAACAAAAATGTGTTGTTATGGCATATTGTTTATTCTTGTAATTAATAAAGACAACGTTTTTTATTTTGCCAAGTGTTCTTGCAAAAACAGCTTGTTAACATTATTTTGCAGGTATTCTTGTTATGATGGAGTCTTTCGGTGAATTTGACCCTGCCACACCAGTCACCAAACAGTATTGCACACCATGCTCAGTGAAAGACTATGACGATCAATGCTCCAGTGTAACAAGAGATGCACTAGAAGTGAGTAATTTACATTACTGTAAACGAATTAAATTATCACAGAGTACTAGTATTACTTTTGCTGATGCTTTGTTTATTTAGTTGTGTAAGTGCTTATGTGAATGACAGATGTAAGTCTATTCATATTTTGATGAATCCAGTAAGTGTAATTTTTAAATTAGGTGTGTTTTGGAGATATGCTACTACTCAAGCAAATACGCAAGGCTGAATAAAGTTTGAGTTACTGAATTTGTAGATTCAACAAAAACAAAAATGTATATTGTCTGTAACTCAAAATTCTGTTAAATATTAATTAGACATCAAGTCACAGTTTGGGTGTGGTTTCTCAAAAATGGATGTGGGTTTCTCAAATATCTGTGAGGTCAGTTTTGTAACTTGACAATTCAGCATCTCCCAAGACAAATTAAATGGTATTGAAGCATTTGTCTTTGATTCCTCCGTGACTTTCAAGCCTTGATTAATAATATACAATAAGTAAAATCCATGTGAACATGTCAATTTACAATACAACTTATAGATTCCTAACAGGAGAGTCTTTATAACTACTTTGTAAATAGTGTCTCCCCAGTCCTATTAATCATGACTGTTTTACAATGCTTGGCCACTGAAATTGAACTTTTATGAACCAATACAGGTTGTTGGTACATGTAGCTTAATTATTGTATACAAAAGACCTATGCAAATAGATTAGTATTATGCAAATTAGTTACACTGCTTGGGCATTGGGTAAGAAAACTTTACTAGCCTGTGAATCTAATTTCATTTACAGAACTTGATTGAATATATCGATAAAAATCCACAGATTTATAAGAGTATCTTAAATAAAAGAAAAATTGATGACCTAGAGAATGAAAGCATGTTCTCTTTCCTCAAGGTATGTATATATTCAGTAATTTAACTGTAAATTTGATCCTGCATTTTGGCGTCATATGTACACGAGTCATACAAGCCATTGGATCACTGTTTTTTTTTAGCTCCACTCTAATAAAATTTTCATTATTGTAGGTGATTGTCTGCCACTGGCTATCCCACATACTGAAAAATACTTTATTTTAGCTGGAATAAATATTTGCTGAGAAGACATTTTGGCTGTTTTGTATGAAGTTGAATGTAAAATATAGGAAAAAAGGTGTTATTTGCCTGATTTTATTTTCACTGATTCATTCAATCAGCAAAAATTGTATTACCGTATAAAATTGACAATATTTTTAGTACCCGGGTAGGTTTTTAAGGGCAAAATATTGTACCGTAACTGCTGTATGTGCACTAAAATATGCTCATATGTAAAAAAAACTCACGAGTAGCATTCTACCTTAAGTGATTTGGTAAATGCTATATTTCAGACGCGGTTTATGTCATCT